TGTGGTGTTTATTAGGCTAATAAAAAAAAGACCAGTAGATCAGTCCTTTATATCTATTACATCTATTTTAATGCTGTTTTGCATGACTCAAAAAAAAATATTAGGCTAGTTATTTAACAAAAGCAAAGTTTAGTATAAAAAATACTGCAATCGTGTTTTTAAAATGAAATAAAAAGGCTGTGATACAAAATCTTAAAATATAAAATTGTCCCACTTGTCCCACTTTCATACATTTTGCACCTATGAATTGGTCGTAGAACTACAAAATGAGTTTAATTTAATAAATTTAATAAAGATTTAATGTGATTTTAAGAGCTTTGTTTATGTGAATGCTGCGTGACTGTGACGTGTTTTAATGGGCGTGGCTGGAGTCGCATTCAAACACTGGAGCGGAGGCAGTTGCCATGGAAACGGGGCGCAACACTGTAACTGACAAACTGTAAATCTTCATCTCTAGCTGCTGTTTTCTGCTTTCAGGTGAGTTTAGTCCCTAAAATCACACAAATATCACATACATCTGTTCCAGACACTTTCTTACATGTAACTGACATGTTTCTGTTGAATATTTACTTCACAGAAATGTTTTACAGTCGTTGAAAAAGTCCGCTAGCATCTCAACTGTTTTAGAGGAGGTTATGTTAGGCTAAATCTGAAGCTTGAGCTCTTGTTTATGAAAGTTTGGGCTTTTAATCACATCTTTATGTGTAGATGAGAGGTTTTGGGAGTTTTGTAAAGGTTTTGTTGTCAGTGGTTTATTGTATACTACAAACAATTATTTCAATTTTCTGCACAGAATAAGGTAGAAAATATACTTTATAGTTTATGTACTGTAATAAATGATATGTCAATTAGCACTGCATCATTCATTAATTGTATTTATATATTGTGTTTATTGTCTTAATGTTTCATCAGTTCATTCTGCTTTTTATTCAGTTTAGCTGCAGATATAACCTGGCACGTCTTAATTCGAGCGCGAGATCACTTCTCTTTCAATGCGAAAACTTCTTTATCTCATTTTCATAAAATAAAATGCTATAGTATTTAACTTTTCCTCTCCATCAGCGAATGATGATTGCGCCTGATGTCTGTTTGCTATAGCAACAAACTCTTCTTTTATGCATCTGATTATCAGATAAATCTCGCGCTTTTATTTCAAGGTTGTTGTTACTGCTGTGGTTATTTTAACAATTTCCTTAGTACATTGTTAAAACACATTTATCATTCAATGGAACTGCGCGTATGCTTAGACACTTACATTTTTGCTCCCTCCATGCAATAAATGCACAGCCTTCGACTGCTCCGGTAATGTCGTCTCACTCGTCGGTATGACCGAGAGCCATTGAAAAACTACAGAAAAGTAAAACTACTTCACTTTAGCATTACTGGCCACGAGTACTAAGGAGAGATCACACATTAGCTGCTCAAAAATGTGTCAGTGTGTGAGACGAACAGAGCGCGAGCGCAGTCCTGTGACAGTCACAGGCGGTAAATAAATAGTGGAGCGCGTGAAGGAGAGATGCCCAGGGCACGAACAGTTCAAGGTCTCCATTAATTCGTGCTTGTAGTAATTTAATGTGTATATATTTTGATTCATTCGATTCTTATCGTTTTAAATCGATTACTGTCCGAAATCGACGATTCACGATTCAAAATCCATGTTTCAAGATCGATGCATATATGCATCGTCAGGGTTTGTAATCGATGCATCGAGAAAACGAGTGAATCGTTACACCCCTACCCAAAACACAATCCTTGACTCATATTTTCCATTCACTGACATATCTCCATTGCAGAATGTCTGATTTTGTAGCCTTTAAAGACTTACTAAAGCATGCACTTTATAGAGCAGGTAGTAAATGAGCTGAGAATCCTGAACATATGCACCCTTGAAAGCGCACAATGTAATTTCTTCACCGTTAGCAGCAACCACAGGATTTGTAAAATGGCAGTGGTGTGTTTTCCAGTGCACAGTCCATCGTTGGGATAAAAAAAAGTAGTCCCAGAGATCAAAACATTCACAACTGGTGGTTGGGTCGCTGAAACAGATTGAAATTCCATTTTGTGCCATTAGTGGTGTAGAAATTACACACTGCATTTACAAAAAGCATTCACTGGAACTGGCACTTTGAATCCAAAACATGCCTCTGTCTGCCACTGATGGGACAAAAATGGGAAGTCCCTCCACAAACTCATTCCACTGGTTGAGTGAAATGAATAATGTTTAAATGTGGACATGCTGTCAAAATTGTTAGGGGCCTTAAAATGGGAAAGGAATCTGACCAGATTCTGAACAAGACTTACTGAATGCAAGTGTTCCTAAACCTTAGACTAGAATAGATCATTAAGTCTGGCTCAAAGTCATTCATAGGTTGCCGCCTACTGGTGTAACAGTTACACTGTAAAAAAATTGCTGTAAAAAAACCGCCATTCTGACAGTAACATCCTGTTTTTTTCATTACAACAGTACAATCCCTTAAAAAAAACAATGTATTCCGGGTAATATTTGTTGTTTTCGAGAAAGTAGCCCTCTGCAGTCCTTGTAGTAACAGCACTCAGATTCGACACTGAGACTGTGTTTCAAATCACACCCTGCACCCTCATTCACTATTCCCTGCATGAGTTTACTAATACAGTCCACCTGACAGAGAGAATGAAAACTAATGAGTGAATTCAGACAATGATGAACAGCTGCTGTTAACGAGCAGAATCGCTGAAGAAAAGAGCAAGAAATGAAACTACTATTGACATACAGCCACAGCCTTAGATGAAATCAACCGAAATAAAACAGCAGAACATGATCAAACAACTCCACAAACAGCATTACAGTTTGACTTTATTTCTGTCATATATCTACAAAAATTATTTGAGAATTAACAGAGGTTTAGATGTTTTATTGAAAACATTTTGTTTGACCTCACCATTGTGGCCATCAGGGTTTGCTTTAGTTGGGCTCTTGACCCTTCACTTTTTAATGCTAGTTTTTCTGGTTGTTGGAACTGTGTTTTTAAAGCACATTTGTTATAACAAGAAAAGCGTAGAAAAATTACAATTAAATGGGTTTGGTTAGTTATTGGTGATGATGAAATCATCATTCGGTGGCTGATCTTCAAAAACATCGTGTGGTTTTTCACTTGTTTCATGTTATTTACGATAGCTATATGACAACTTATGTTCAAAGTCTTTAAAACTACGGCATCGTTCAGACACACAGAGACATCAAGAATTAGCATATGAATCTCAACAATGGTGACGATAAAAAGTTCCATGCTGCAATGCATGCTGGGTACCAGCACAGGACAAAACTCATCCATGACTCCCAGCATGCATTGCGGCATGAATAAATTGTGCAGCTGAATTGTCCACTTATTTTCTTTAATTCTTACTAGGTGCTTTCATTTTTGCTTTTGTTTTGTGTTGAGTTTTAGTAGCGTGTTTTGTGATGTTCAGAGTCGATCTGTTTATTAATTTTTTTGATCGTCACCGTTGTCGAGATTCATAGGCTGATTCTTCATATGAGTGTTTCATAGCATGTTAGAGCCTTCCTTTCTTTTTTTTTTGAGTGATGTGTGTGATCGGTCATATTAGCTAGC